GGCCCCGGTCTCAGCCCGTTGCCCCCCCCAGCCCCATCCCGACGCTGGTTATGGCTCGGCCGCAGCCCCAGCGCCGTGCTGTCAGTGGGCCCTGGCCCCAGCCCCACGCTGCCGACAGCCAGGCTCCAGCCTCAGGCCCTGTTGCCCGTGGACTCTGGCCACGGCCTGAGGGCCCCCAGCCCCACGCTGTCGGGCCCCAGCCCGACCCCAGCCCCATGCTGCCCACAGCCCCATGCTGCCAGTGGGCCCTGGCCACAGCCACACACTGCCCATGGTCCCAGCCCCAATGGGCGCAGTGCTGGCACCTGCTGTCTTCCCAGAGCCTGGGGTCGGGAGACAGCCGGGGCCGGGGTCGGGGTCGGGGTGGGGAGGCAGCAGCTGTTTGCCGCCTCCTGGCTGCAGCCGGCCCAGGTTCAAGGTAGCTGCTGATAGCCATGGAGCCTGGGTTGCTCCCAGCAGCCAGCTGAGAGGATGGAAGCCCTGCTGGAAGCAGCCCAGGCTCTGTGGTTATGAGCAGCTACCCAGAACCTGGGTTGGCTGCAGCTGAGAGGATACAAACTGCTGCGGCCTCCCCTGGCCCCAGCTGCCTCCCAGACCCAAATCCAGCCCTGGGCTCTGGGGAGGCAGCAGATACTGGCGATGCTCCCCACTGCGCTGCCCTTGCTGCCGTTTGTTTGGAGCAGTGTGTGAAACCTGGCACAGCAGAACACAGCAGTGGGGTGCAGGGAAGCTGCCTGCTGCTCCAAGCTCCCCACTGCCCTGGCCACACTTACCCTGCAGGTGGGGGCAGCAGCGAGGGGCTCAACCCCTGTGTGCTTGCCTATGCTGTTCCCATGCACACAGGGGAAGTGTGACCCAGGCAGCGCAGAGCTCGCAGCAGAAGGCAGCTTCCCTGTGTGGCCCCGCTGTGTGCTGCCACTCTGGGTCACACATGCTGTGCTCAGGAGGACCCAGGGGAGGGCAGCAGGACCAGGAGCACAGTGTGTGTGAGGGCAGCACAGCAGAGAGCATCACCATTATCTGCTGCCTGCCTGGGCCTGGGGCTGGGAGGCAGGTAGGGCCGGGGT